ACAAAATAACCCTCAGTAAATAATCATCTTTACCTTCTTTTATAGCAAAAAGCTCACATTGGAATTTCCCATTTTAATGTATTTTTGGCTCATACAGCATGATAACCTGTTCAAAATGAAATAAAACAACATTTATGCCTTTTGGATTTTTCTAACTGAATGACTTTGCCAGTAAAACATAATTCTCCAATCTCACAACAACATTTGCCTCAATGCCGATTGGTCCTTTACGGATTTCCAACTGGCCGCATTCCCTTGGTGGGGCCAGTTTGCAAATAATAATGAGACACTGAAGTTCAGGTAAACCACTTTGAGGTGTGTAAGTAGCAGCTGGATGGGGAGAAAATAAAAGCAAGAGTAAGTTTCTAGATGACTCCTGCATGCTTCATGCAGGAGGCTGAACAGTTGTATGAGTGTTTGTATACAGTCAACACTTCAATTCAATTCAATACAATTCAGTTTCTTTATTGTCCCACAAGGGGAAATTAGTTTAGCAGCAGGATAAAAATAAACAGAACAATAATATAAAATAATAATGACAATAATAGTGATAGAAAGTCCAAGGATGGTTATTTGCCATTGAGGAGACAAGATGCAGTGGGGATAAAAGAAACCTGGAGTCTTTTAGTCTTCCTCACAGGTTCTCTGAAACAGCGGCCAACAACTCAAACTCACTGTGAAGTGGACGCTTCAAACAATTAATAATAGAATGAGCCTTTCTGAGCACATTTTTATTGTAGATGGCCAAAAGTCCATCTTGCCAGCGCCCTGAAATTTTCCAAGCAGTTTTTACCAGAAGTCCCAACCGATTCTTATTCTTCACCGTCAGGTTACCAAACCAGGCAGCGATACAAAAGGACATCACAGATTCGATAAAACTTCTATAAAACAAAGACAACATCTCAGATGAGACATTAAAAGATCTCATTTTCCTTAAAAAGAAAAGTCTTTGTTGAACTTTTTTAGTAGTGGCATCAGCATGAGATTGAAAACACAGTTTATGGTCAAGTACCACAGATAGATATTTATAACTCTCAATGATCCCAATATCAGCAGCTTTAATGATAGTAGGTGATGAGCTATCAGAGGACTTCCTAAAATCAATAATCATGTCTTTAGTTTTAGACACATTAAGCGAAAGGAAGGACTCATCACACCAATTCACAAAATCATCTACAACCTTGGCCTGACTCGTCCCCCACTAGAAGACTGACGATCACTGTGTCATCAGCAAACTTCAGGATGTTTCTGTTTGTGAAATTACTGCGACACTCATTTGTGTACAGAATGACCAGAAATGAAAAGCACACACAGTAAAATTCAGCAGCATTTTAACAATGTTTATTACTAATTTTCCCAATGGCCTGAAGGCTACTCTAATAATAAAGCAGTAAAGTGTTGTTCTCATTTCAAGTAAAATAAGGCTTCTCCTTAAAAATAATAAGAGCTTGTCTTCAAATAGTGTTTAATTTAAAATAATGAACAGGTTTAGTTGGGGTTTCCTCTTTTCTTCATTGTTCTGAACTAAATTTTCTTTAAGCCTCCTTTCCCCCCCCCCACCTGTTTCTCCTCTTCAGACTTCTGCAGCTCGTCTTCTGTTTCCTGTTTTCACGTGTGCTCTGAATAAAAGATTTGATTGACTGCTTAGAGAGTTACAAAGCAC